GAGGCAGGAGAATGGCGTGAACCCGGGAGGCGGAGCTTGCAGTGAGCCGAGATTGCACCACTGCACTCCAGCCTGGGCGACAGAGCGAGACTCCATCTGGAGACAAAAAAAAATGAAAAAGAAAATGTTCAGGCCTAAGCCAGGGGCCCGGGCTGTAATTCTGTCGCTTACCATGACCTTGGGCAAAGCTACTTCCTTCCCTGGCACAGTTCACAGGGCTGGAACCAACTCGAAGGTCCCTTCCAGCGTGAATGTTGCATGGTTCTAGGATGAGAAGATGGGGACAGTTTCCCCTCTCTCAGCCCAACCCGTGTCCACTTCAAGGTGAATGGCCAGGGAAGTCACGTGTCCCAACCCCCCAGTTCCAAAGCCCTTGGGGACCCTGCTGTCAGGGTCGTGCATGAGGAGGTGAAGGTCAGGTGAAAAAATCGCCTCGAAGGGTCTTGCCTCATTTGGGACAGACATCTGGTTTCCTCTGGGCTCTACCGGGATTCCAGGGGCTTAACTGAATGAGTCATGGGGTCAGGGGGGTTTCTGGGGGAGTTCCCAGCTAATCAGCTTGGGTCAGGACAGCCTGGAACTTTCGATGGTGCCTATCCAAGTGTGGGGTGGGCACTGCAGCCAAGACCCAATGTCCTTATCTCAGGTAGGGGCCCTCAGGAGGTCACCCAGACAGGCAGCCTCTGGAGAGTTTGGGGGTAGGAATGGGGGCAACCAGTTTCTTTCTCTCTTAGAATGTGGGGGCTCTGGGGACAGGCTTGAGAATCCCAAAGGAGAGGGGCAAAGACACTGCCCCCGCAAGTCTGCCAGAGCAGAGGGAGACCCCACTCAGCCGCCACTTCCCCACAGGCTGCTGCCGCCTCCAGGCATCTACCAGCGGCTCAGCCTTTGTTCAGCTGTTCTGTTCAAACACCCTGGGGCCATTCAGGCCTGGGTGGGGCAGCGGGAGGAAGGGAGTTTGAGGGGGGCAAGGCGACGTCAAAGAAGTATCAGAGATTCCACAATTTCACAAAACTTTCGCAAACAGCTTTTTGTTCCAACCCCCCTGCATTGTCTTGGACACCAAATTTGCATAAATCCTGGGAAGTTATTACTAAGTCTTAGTCGTGGCCCCAGGTAATTTCCTCCCAGGCCTCCGTGGGGTTATGTATAAAGGCCCCCCTGGAGCTGGGCCCCAAAACAGCCCGGAGCCTGCAGCCCAGCCCCACCCAGACCCATGGCTGTACCTGCCGCCCAGAGCCCCATGAAGCTGATGGGTGAGTGTCTTGGCCCAGGATGGGAGAGCTGCCCGCCCTGGCATGGGAGGGAGGCTGGTGTGACAGAGGGGCTGGGGATCCCCGTTCTGGGAATGGGGATTAAAGGCACCCAGTGTCCCCGAGAGGGCCTCAGGTGGTAGGGAACAGCATGTCTCCTGAACCCGTTCTGTCCCCAGCCCTGCAGCTGCTGCTGTGGCACAGCGCACTCTGGACAGTGCAGGAAGCCACCCCCCTGGGCCCTGCCAGCTCCCTGCCCCAGAGCTTCCTGCTCAAGTGCTTAGAGCAAGTAAGGAAGATCCAGGGCGATGGTGCCGCGCTGCAGGAGAAGCTGGTGAGTGAGGCAGGCGAGAGGGCTGTGGAGGGAAGCCCAGTGGGGAGAGCTAAGGGGGATGGAACTGTGGGCCGACATCCTCAGGAAGGGATGTGGGAGAATATTAGGAGTGGTGGAGCTGGGGAAGGCTGGGAAGGGACTTGGGGAGGAGGACCTTGGTGGGGACAGTGCTCGGGAGGGCTGGCTGGGATGGGAGTGGAGGCATCACATTCAGGAGAAGGGGCAAGAGCCGCTGTGAGATCAGAGGGTGGGGGTGCAGGGCAGAGAGGAACTGAACAGCCTGGCAAGACATGGAGGGAGGGGAAAGACCAGAGAATCAGAGAGGACCAGGGAAGGAGGAGCGGCAGCCTGGCCACGGCGAGTCTCACTCTGCATCCTTCCATCCCCAGTGTGCCACCTACAAGCTGTGCCACCCCGAGGAGCTGGTGTTGCTTAGACACTCTCTGGGCATCCCCTGGGCTCCCCTGAGCAGCTGCCCCAGCCAGGCCCTGCAGCTGGTGAGTGTCAGGAAAGGATAAGGCTGATGAGGAGGGGAAAGGAGAGGAGGGACACCCATGGGCTCCCCCAGGTCTCCAGGCTCCAAGCCGGGGGCCTGATGGGAGGGTCTCAGGCAGCACCCCCTAACTCTTCCGCTTTGTCTCCCAGACAGGCTGCTTGAGCCAACTCCATAGCGGCCTCTTCCTCTACCAGGGCCTCCTGCAGGCCCTGGAAGGGATCTCCCCTGAGTTGGGCCCCACCTTGGATACACTGCAGCTGGACGTTGCCGACTTTGCCACCACCATCTGGCAGCAGGTGAGCCTTGTTGGGCAGGGTGGCCAAGGTCATGCTGGCATTCTGGGCACCGCAGCCGGGCCTGTCAGCCCCCAGCATTTCCTCATCTGTAATAACACCCACTCAGCAGGGCCCAGCCACTGATCGCAGCTTTCCTTTACAGATGGAAGACCTAGGAATGGCCCCTGCCCTGCAGCCCACCCAGGGTGCCATGCCAGCCTTCACCTCTGCCTTCCAGCGCCGGGCGGGAGGCGTCCTGGTTGCCTCCCATCTGCAGCGCTTCCTGGAGCTAGCGTACCGCGTTCTACGCCACCTTGCCCAGTCCTGAGCCAAGCCCTCCCCATCCCATGTATTTATCTCTATTTAATATTTATGCCTATTTAAGCCTCATATTTAAAGACAGGGAAGAGCAGAACGAAGCCCCAGGCCTCTGTGTCCTTCCCTGCATTTCTGAGTTTCATTCTCCTGCCTGTAGCAGTGAGAAAAGCTCCTGTCCTCCCATCCCCTGGACTGGGAGGTAGATAGGTAAATACCAAGTATTTATTACTGTGACTGCTCCCCAGCCCTGGCTCTGCAGTGGGCACTGGGATGAGCCACAGTAAGCCCCTGGTCCCGAGGGTCCCCACCTGGGGCCCTTGGGAGTATCAGGTCTCCCACGTGGGAGACAAGAAATCCCTGTTTAATATTTAAACAGCAGTGTTCCCCATCTGGGTCCTTGCACCCCTCACTCTGGCCTCAGCCGACTGCACAGCGACCCCTCCATTCCTTTGGGTGTGAGGTCCCTGGACAAGCACAGGCAGCCAGAGCTGGGAAGCATGGCCCTGGGGTCCCATGAACTTGCTGGGGAATCTCGTTTTTCTTCTTAAGACTTTTGGGACATGGTTTGACTCCCCGCATGAGGAACTCAGGCATCACTGATGTGTCTCCTGTTTTTCTGGGTGCCCTCGGGACACCTGCCCTGCCCCCACGAGGGTCAAGACTATGACTCTTTTTAGGGCTGGGCAGGTGCCTGGACATTTGCCTTGCTGGACGGGGACTGGGGATGTGGGAGGGAGCAGACAGGAGGAATGATGTCAGACGTGTGTGTGAAAGGAATCTCGACTGTCACCCTCCACCTCTTCACCCCCGACTCACCAGTGTCCCCTCCACTGTCGCATTGTAACCAAACTTCAGGATAATAAAGTGTTTGCCTCCAGTCATGTCCTTCCTCCTTCTTGAGTCCAGCTGGTGCCTGGTCAGGGGCTGGGGAAGTGGCTGAAGGGTGGGAGAGGCCTGAGGAAGGTCGGGGAGGAGGTCCAGGGAGAAGGGGGAAGGTTCTCAAGTTCGTCTGACATTCATTCCATTAGCACGTGTTTATCTGAGCACCCACTCTGTGCAGACGCTGGGCTAAGTGCTGGGGACACAGCAGGGAACAAGGCAGACGTGGAATGAGCAGCCACAGCCGCGCAGGGAAGACAGAGGCACTGGGACCATGGGAACCCGGAAAGGAGAGCACATGGGGTCCAGGTGGGCTTAACAGGCCAGACACAGTCAGACAAGATGAAGCCAGGGAGTGCTGAGCATCTGTACCAGGCTTGTCACTTACCATCTTCCATAAACTTGAGCCCATCCATCAAGTTGGAGTTTCTCTCCTCCTCAGGCTCGGTCTCTGCACTTGCCCCAGCTGGTCACTTCCTGCTTACAGCAGCCCCATAAGCTGAAGAGCGCTAAGCTCACAGCACAGGAGGGTGTGGAGCTGTGGCAAGTACGGGGGCCAGTGACCACACTGCAGGTGTGAGGCCTGCCTGCAGCCAAAGACTCCTGTGTGGCTTTGGGGTACCCCCACCAGCCCCCAGTCCACTATCTGCCCAAGGCTTGTCCTCCTCAGCTCCTCGGTCCCTCCCACCTCCCCAGCCCGTGGCTCCTCGGAAAGCAGGGTCAGAAGTGTCCACTGCCAGCTCGGAGTCATCCATTTAGGGGCTCGGAGACGTGTGAGGCAGGCAAGGAAGGGTTAAAGAAAGGTCCGGCCCTCATCCCCCCGCCTCCCATCCCCCAGTCCTTTTTTGGAGGCAACAGATCACATCCCAGGCTAGTCAGAGTGTGGGCAGGGTTGGGCCAGGTTCGGGAGACAGCAGAGCAGGCCACCCTGCCCCAGCACTGTGGGGCCCTGAGCCAAAGCCTCTCCCCTTTCAGGGTACAGCTGGCTTTGCGGGAGGGGGCAGCAGGCCGGCCAACTTGGCTCCAAGGAAGGGAAGCTGCTTTCCCCTGGCTCTTCCTCAGCTGAGCAAGTCCACATAGGACCCTAAGCCCTGCCACCTCTGCACCTCTTCCTCCTCCTCCTCACCACAGCAGTGAGCTTTCCCTGGCCACAGCACAGGCAGTCCAGGGAGAGAGCACTGTGCCCCGCCCCGGGTGACACTGACACCAACAGCACCCACAGTCGCAAAGGGATCCACGAGGAGCTTTATTTACACATGAACAAAGGTAGATTTCCCTCACATATTACAAAATATATACACACACACACACACACACACACACACACACTCTGCATCTAGAAAGTTCCTCAGAAGTAAGACTACCCCTGGGCTGGGGCGGGCGCACACAGGGGTGACCACTGGGCTTGTGGTCCAGGCTGCTCACACTCCTCAGGTGCTGGCAGACAGAGAAGAAATTTCAAAAGAGGAAACCAGGAGACATCCTGGAGGTCAGGAGTCAGAAGCGGGGAATTAGAAGCTGCCAGAGGCTCTTGCACCATGTGGAGCGGATGTGAGCCACGATGCCTCATCTTTCCTCACTGCTTCCCTTGGAGGCACCTGGGGCTGCGCCAGTCCCCAGCCCCCAGCCCCCACTGCGGCCATGCCAAGCCCCTCAGAGTGCAGCAATGGCTTTAGCAGCCACCTGGCGGCCCAGGGGCAGGCTGAGGTCCGTGATGGCCAGAACCACCTTGGGGCTGGACATGGCTGACACCTTCACCAGTTCCGACACCTGCCACAGACAGAGATGCTGCTTGCTGGATGGCTGGTGGTGGGCGTGCTGTCCCAGGGGAAGGAGGCCCCTCCCTGCTCCAAGGGCTGCGCCGAGGCCCCAGCACCAGCGGGAGAGCCAGGAAGGTGGTACTCACGGTGGTGAAGGGCATGAACTGCAGGACACTGCCGCGGCCACCCTGCTCCAGGCAGTCCACACACTCCTCCATGAACCACTGCACGAACTGGGTGTGGGGGCCAGCAGTGCGCGACCCCAGGATGGAGGAGATGAGCAGGAAGAGGTTGGCTGTGGAGAGTGACAGGAGGGAGTTCCATGAGAGGGGGTGAGGTCACACTCTGGGAGAAGGCGGGACTGAAAAGGGAAAAGAAATACATGCTGAGCATGTCCCCAAAACGGGGTGTCAGAGAGAGAAAATATAAAAGGCAACCGGGCAGGGGAGGGGGGGAACTAGACAGGAGCCTGGGAGCCAGGACAGCCAGCAATGAGGAGCATGGAGGGAGAAGGGCGGGGCGCCATGAGGCCCCTTCCAGCTGACAAGGTCGTCCAGCCTCCATGAGGAGAGGGACTCGTCCAGCTTAGCCCCAGGTTCAGCAGCACGGGTGGGGAACTTACCCAGGACTCGGTTCAGAGGGTCCCGCATGTTGACCGTGTGGAGCTGAGAGGCTGAGAGGGAGCTGCTCATGGACCGGTCTGCTGTGGGACAGAGCAGACGGAGCGCTGGGGAACAGCCTGCCAAGTGCAAAAGCGGCGCTCCCTGGGGATACCCCCACCCGACCTTCACCCATCGGAGGTAACTGGTACCTGGAAAGCCCAGAGAAGACCCTGAGATCAAGAGCACAGAGGGAGGCTGGGTGCAGGGGCTCACACCTGTAATTCCAGCACTTTGGGAGGCCAAGGCAGGAGGACTGCTTAAGCCCAGGAGTTCAAGACCAACCTTGGCAACTAGCGAGACCCCATCTCTACAAAAAATACAAAAATTAGCTGGGCATGGTGCCAAAGCCTGTAGTCCCAGCTCCTTGGGAGGCTGAGGCAGACTGCTTGAGCCCAGGAGAACAAGGCTGCAGTGAGCCGAGATGGTGCCACTGCACTCCAGCATGAGCAACAGAGCAAAACCCTGTCTCAAAAAAACAGGCTGAGCGCGGGGGTTCATGCCTGTAATCCTAGCACTCTGGGAGGCCAAGGTGGGTAGATCACCTGAGTTCAGGAGTTCGAGACCAGCCTGACTAAAATGGCGAAACCCCATCGCTACTAAAAATACAAAAATTAGCCGGGCGTTGTGGCAGGCGCCTGTAGTCCCAGCGACTCAGGAGGCTCCAACTGCTTAACCCAGGAGGCGGAGGTTGCAGTGAGCCAAGATCACGTCACTGCACTCCCTCTGGGCAAGAGAGGGAGACTCCAACTCAAAAAACAACAAAAAAAAAGGCACAGAGGGGCCTCGGATACAGAGAGATCCCAACGGAGACGAGAGAAAAACTAACGTGTGGCGAGCACACAGCGCCAGGGGCCGATCTTGGTACTTCCTAGGCCACTTACTCCTCACAACACCCCATTTACACATGAGGAGACCCAGATGGGGGCTGGCTCAGTCACTAAACGTCACAGCGCTTGCAGCTGGAGCATTTTTCTTCTGATCAAGTGTATATTCGGTCCCCTAGTCCCTAAAAGCCTTCAGAGAAAAGTTCAGGCTCAGGAGAAATCTCTGGAAACAGGAAAAATGCCACAGAAGGAGCCCTTTGCAGTAAGTTTGGCAGGGAGGAGAGGACAGTGAGAAGGATGCCCTCCAGGGAAGAGAGGGGTGGGGGCGTGTGCTCTTTAGACAGGAAGGTGGGGAGTAGTCCCAAGTTCCAGCCCGGGCCTCTCCGGGCATGTTGGGGGAAGGAAGGAAGGTCAGAGCTGGTGAGTCAATGGCACAGGCTGTGCCTGAGGCAGTGAACTCACTTGGGTAGCTTGTCATCCCCTCAACCCTGGGGTAAGGGAGGGGGCAGGAGGGTTGCAGGCGGGG